GTGTGTGTGTGTGTGTGTGTGTGTGTGTGTGTGTGTGTGTAGGGTCTCAGGCTGTGGGTGAAGAGATTGCTGGGCAGATAGAGGAGCAATGCTGAGTGCACAAATAGTCTACGTCTGAGCCTGGAACGAGGCGGCCCAGGAAGTGTCCGAAGAGAAGTTTATTCAGCAAAACTTGCTGTGAGGATGGGCAGGAAAAAGGTGCGTCTACACTTTCCGAAGGCAAATAACAGAAGGACACTGTGTTAGAAACTGCTGTTGAGCGGCAGGCCTTGTCTTGGTTGAAAGACAGTTTATTAAAAAGGGTTAGTCCTGAAACATTTTCCCTTTAAATGCTAATAATATAAGTATTGACTGTAGTGCTTATGTATTAAATCTTTTCTCCTTGGGTTCATACCTTGATCCTGCAAGGACGGTTCCCGCCAGGTGGAGCCATGAGGCAGGTAAATGCAATTTTTGTCGCTTCCTTCCTCCCCCTCCCGACCCCTACCCTCTAAAGCACACAGGGCCCTCAAGCCCCCCTGACCTCCCAATTCAAAGCTCTGCCCAGATTTGCCCTCTAGATAGTACCCACCAGACATCTGGTTTTCAATTCTGGTCAATTAGCTGAAACAACAACAACAACAACAAACACACAAAAACAAAACCTTTCCGAGAGTTAGAAATGGCAGTTACTATTTCTTAATCAACTACTATATACTAGAACTACTATATTCTATAGTCACAACTCTTTGCTTGCAAATAATAAACCCTCCTCAACCAGCTTGAGCAACAGAGGAATTCTGGGATAAGGCTACAGTTGATCCATTCATTGATCGACCTATCAATCTTCCAAAAAATCTTACCTTATGTGGTCTCCAGGACATCACATTTACCTGGTTTGTCTCCTACCTCTCTGGAGGTTCCTTCAAGCGTAGTTTCTTCCCCTGGTTCCTCCTTATATCCCCGATTTCTAAATACTGGAGTACCCAAGGCTCTGACTTGGGAGCTTTTCTCTCTTCTGTCTACACTTATTTCACTGGCCATCTCATCCATCTTATGAGCACCCTGTTAGTGAAAGGGCTTTAAACACGGCTGTGGGTAAGCGCCATGAACGTGCTCAGCTGTGCCCTGGGAGACAGGGTGAGAGTCCATTGACGTAGAATCTCTCTTTCTAGAATTTTCAAGTGTTTTAATGCTCCTACCTAGAATGTCAGCTCCACGAATAATTTCGTTTTCTCATTTCAATTTGGAAAAAAGTTCAAAATCTGCA